TGGTATGAGGTAAATAATGAGAAACTGATTCTTTTCTGGCCAAACCTTCATCAAGGTAGTGGCGAGCATGAAACACTCCAACTGCGTGTGTCCTCCAGCGAGGCACGAGGGCCCAGGCAAAGCGCCCTTCCTAGGACCTATCTGAAATGCAAATATCCCAACACCATGACGACTGTTTCTCAACCTAAGTTAACAAATTGTGATGCTTGTTTCATAGATCGATCCTATGAGCCTGGTTTACGTGACCCTGGGAGATGGGTATGCTTTGGGGGAGTAGAAAACTAAAAGATAAACCCTGGGTAATGGCAAATGCACAAATGCAATGAGTACCCCAGAGTAGGGCCTCTCTTCTTCAGGTATTGACATTACCACTCCCCTCAACCTCTGCGTAGGCTTTGCTTGTACAATATCATATTCCTATTAATAATGTTTAGTGGACGCTACTCACTGGAGCAAAGTTCCCAGGAAAGAGGAAAGCCAACAAAGGTGTTGCTTAAAGAGCTGACTGAACTGTTGAAAAGTCTTCTACCTTCCTGAATTCTAATCTTGACCCCTGAGTCCATCCGGCACAGAACTGTTCAACAAATCTACCCAAAAGATGAATCAGACCTTGTCATTTCCTTGCACTGCAGTTGATGGTGCCTCATTAACACTTCCTGTCTACATTTGTGAAACTTTCACTCATGGCTTTTTGTGACTTGGCTTTGCCTCCCTCTCCAGCCTCATCTGTGACCCCACATCCTAGTGATGCATAAATATGTGTCCATACCTGCACACACCATACTCTTCTACTCATCTGTGCCCAAATCCTGTGTATCTATTGAGTTTCCCCGAAGCCCTCTTTCCTGTTCTTCCTGGCTAACTCCCTTCCTTGCCTCCCCTAAAGCTCAGTTTGGTGTCCCAAGTTTCCATAACATCATGTACATAAAACTATGATGGCTCTTTCCTTACTGTATTAAAATTATAACCATATGAAAGATATAACTGTGGGGGCAAGAATCTTACCTATTCTCTCTGTTCCTGGAACCCAGCACAAAGCCTGGCAGAGAGTGTCACAAATGTTGGCCACATGGAACTGAACTGAATCTGCCCCTCTTTCTACCCCCCAGAGCTCTCTATTTCCATGCCCCATGCTGATTTCTCCTCCCCAGCCATAGCGATCCTGGCCCTGCGTGTGTTCCCACATTGGGCCTGCACCTCATTTCTTACAGATATGAGACTGAGGAAGGGGGAGGTGGGCTCATGACCTGCCCACAGTTGTAAGTGAGGCTGAATATTTTTCACATGCCAAATTCCTGGCCAGTGTTGCAGAACCTCCTTTCTCTACAGAAATTCATGGAGATGATGACAGCTGAGTTTGCTACAACTGGGCTCAGAAATTTGAGGAGGGGAAAGAGACTTAAAAGCTAAAAAGAAAACATCATGTTCTGTAGACAACCTGGCAGAAGCTAAGAAAGATGTCAACTAAGCCTGGGGTCTTCTGGGCATTAGTCCCAATGGTATGAGGGCATCTGATCTTAAAAGCAAGCACCGAGGCCTTTCTTCCCTGAGTTTAGCCAGTGGCTAGCTCCAAGCCAATATCCCCTCACAGAATGTCCTAAGGCTCCACACAGAATCAAATCTTGCTCCGTGTAATAAATTGATTCACCTGATTACACAGTTCCTTCCAGGCAGATGTGTCTATCTCTTGATCACTTGGGACAAGTAGACCTCACTGTCCTCTCTGAACTTCTTCAGGTACAGAGTGATTTATTATCTTCATGTCAAATTAGGTTTTATGTATACCAACTAGATTCTTCCTGCTTGGGTTTGGGCTTGGGTTTTGGTCTGAAGTCATCTCTCAGAGCTTGTTGGGTCTCAGAGACACTGAAACTGTAATCTTAACCATCACTGTAAGCCCTACCCTAATATACAGGTAAAACATTAGGGAAACATGGTGAGAGGGTGGAGGGTTCTGGACCATGCCCTAGGAAAGCCACAATTTAAATCAGCTTTTTGCCAGTAATCAGAGAGTAGTGTGCTCAAGCCCTTCATTCTTCTGGTCTGAAATCCCCCAGTTGCTAAGGAGCAAGCAGCAATATACTCTCATCCTCTAACTTCCATGGGTTCTCCCATCAGCTCTATAGAGCAGACTGGGCCCTACTGCAGCTCAACCACCCACCCCAGCTTGAAGAAGGGGTCTCCACATCTCCTACAAGAAGTTCTAGGCTCTGGGGTCCCTTCATCAGACATGACTGGTTACCTCATTATGATAACTCTGATCTTCCTTTTAGCATGTGCGCTTCCAGCTAAGAGGATGGATATAAATTCAGCTGGGCCATGGGAATGTGTTCCAGATCTTCCCCAGTTGATATCTCCAAGGATTCTCTAGAGATGGGCTGGATGTGGGGACAAAAGTCCTACAGGAGGAGGCTGGCTGGTCTAGGCAAATGCATGAGCCCTCTTTAAAACTTGTGATCCTGTGCTCTGTCGTGAAACTTTGGGTTCCTGGTCAGAACCTCAGGACTCCCCACTCCCAGGTGGCCTAAGCCCCAGAGATTAGCCAGGGGGGTGGGGCGAACTCTGGGTGTGCACTGGCATCTTCTGGGATTAGCGGCATGGAACTCAGGCCCCAGGAACTTTCACTGCACTCCAGGAGAAATAGTCTCTTCCAACTTTACTTTGAACATAACATGAATACACTGAGCCTTTAGCTCAAAACAACCTGCATGCCACAGAGGCACATGTTGGTGTGACCGGGTCTGAACCTCCACAGTTCATATGATAAAGGGCCGAGAATTCTAGGAAACAAAGATGGAGGAGGAAAACACCAAAAAGAAACCCACTAAAGGGAACGGAATGAAGCCATCTGTGCTTCTCTCGCAGTTTTGCCCAAGAAGACCTCAGGCAAGAAGCAGGAACACTCAGCACAATTGGAGAAGCGCCTGCCCAGAGGCTAGAATGGCAGTTTAATCAAGACGGCATGGGTGGAAAGGTAAGGGTTCACCCTCATCACGTACTGATCTCCAAGGCACTTTAGATCTGCTTTTCAGAATTGTGTGCAGGAGGGGCTCAGAAGTACTGAGAAAATGTTGGGTTCATACCTCCCATATTCTCTAATGCACTATTGAACAATTTAAAGCGTGTGGAGAAGGAGAGAGTTCTGAACCAAGAACCAAAAGAACTGAATGTTTGATGGCAGCATAGCCCATGGCTTCTTTCCTTTGTGCAGCCCATTCACCAATTAAAGCCTTGCTTTCTCCGTCTCTAAAAGGATGAGGTGGTACCGCTGAGGCTGAGCTACATCTATGGTAGCAAATTGTCAGAACACAGCCTGCACCCTACAAGCTGGAATGCATGCCAGTGCAGGGTCTCCTGGAAGCCTTCCATGGGGTCATGCAAGGGAATCCTCAGCCCTGACCTGGCGCTGACCTGCTGACTTCTCTCCGGCTAGCCCACCATCTCCCCTCACCTCCCATTCCAACCCGCAGCAGTGCTCTCAGCTGTATACGTATTATTGGAACCAGAATTAAACTCTCCCGGTGATGTTTGACATTCACTAAGAAGTCTGTGGGAGAGCTTCTGTACAAGAGAAAACAAAACAGCTATGTAATAATAACAATGAGGGAGAGGGAGGAGGAGGGACCTAATCTATGCCAGGATGACTGCAATGCATTTTGTAAGCTTTATCTCATTCCATCCTCAAAAAATCCCTCCTAACAGTGCACCTTGTAAGAACAGGAAGCTAAAGAAGCTCAGAGATGCTAAATAATTTATCCAGGGGAAAGGGACCGCGAAACACAGCGTAACCAATAAAGCCATGCTCTGCTTCCCCTGTACAGACGCAGAATGCTACGGCCACGGGCCACTGGGGTACAAGCCTGCCTCCAGGCACAAGGATAAAACCAATGTTAGTGTGCCCTCAACTCTCAGTCCCCCCTTCCACCACGTTAGCGGGGACAGACCCAACGAGCCTGCCTTAGGGCTGCATCCCTCTAGCTCCGGGGAAGCACTGTCATGCTCCACCCCAGACATGGGGCATCTAATCTGGAACACAGCACTGTACTGGCTCTTTCTGCAAGAGACCAAGAGAGAGCTCCAATCAACTCCAAAAAAGAGCAGCTTTTCCCAGAACGCTCAAAGTTTCCAGAGGCTAGCCACCATTTCATACAAGCCATTGGGAAATACAGCCCCTTGGTGAATTTTTCTAGGGAAAGAGTTCCTGTCGCATATGCCTCAGGCCAGGTGACTAAATCTGCCACCCAAAGAGAAGGCTATTCTTTTTCTTTTTTTTTTTAATATTTTTGTTTATTTATTTTTAGAGAGAGGGGAAGGGAGGGAGAAAGGGAGGGAGAGAAACATCAATATGTGCTTGCTTCTTGCGTCCCCCAACTGGAGACCTGGCCTACAACCCAGGCACGTGCCTTGGCTGGGAATTGAACTGGCGACCTTTTGGTTCACAGGCTGGCAGTCAATCCACTGAGCCACACCAGCCAGGGCAAGAAGGCTATTCTCTCTCTGCTTTGTCTGAGCACCTCCCTCACTTTTGGTCAGGCCAACAGTTGACACCTTGGGCCCCTTTGTTTCTTGCAACATGGCAACTTCTTGCTTACATCCTTTGTGGCCTTCCACGAAGCCTGTGTTTTATAACATCATTTCTCTGGGCCCCCGTGTCCTCAGTGGGACTCTGAAGGAAAAGAGAAGCAAAAGTGACATTTTCCCTGCCATTTTTCTACCAAGATACATTGGAAGTTATAGGGAAAGTGTTCGAGCCTCGGCATGGACGACACCTGGTCTCTGCCCCCGTCCTGTCTTGACTGAATCCCTTGTTCCATGATTTGTAGAAGAGAAAGTAGCATGGAATGGCCCAGAGAATCTTTCCTCTAACCCTGAATGAGCCTGTCTCCCCTGGGTGCCCTTCCAGGTAGAATGAGGCCAGCCCCACCCAGGCCCGCCCAGCCCTATAAAGGAGCCTCCCAGGCAGCCACCTTCAGGAATTTCCAGCTCTGCTCTCCTCCGAAATGAGACTCTGTCTCTCTGGGTTGCTCTTCCTCCTGGTGATCCTATTGCCTCCAGGTAAGATGGCAGGTACAGGTCTGATGATGAAGGTGGGGTTCTTTCAGGGACCCTGGAACTTAAAGCCCCTGTGGATATAAGCCCAGCAAGGAGAACCCAATATCCAATGTACCCTCAGGTTAGGAATGGGACTGGGTTAGTGGTCTTTAGCCTCTGCCCCCTTTTCCTCTGTTGCTACATCCTGAATGTTTGCCAAAGCTTGAGAGAGGGGAGCCAGTTCAACAACGCACAGGCTGCTGTTCCACTATCCAAAGTCCTCTTTCCCTCCCCCTCCCCCAATCAGCCTCAGACTCCATGGCCCTCGCTGGAATGTAGAATGGATGAGAAACAGTCCAGAAGTAAATCGCAAAAATAATAAAGCGTCCACCAGGAAGAGAAGGCAGGCTTAGGATTTCTCCCAGCCTCTTGAAGACTGATTTTTCTTTTCTATGTTTTGTTTTGTTTTTTCCCCTAACCATCAGGGAATTGCTTGTTTGGAAATGATGGAGTAGAAGTTCAGGCTTGCAATGACATTGGTGGCAGATGTTTTCTTGGCTGTAAAATTGGATGGAAATGGGTTTCCTTCTGCTACAGCGTACTTTCTTGTTGCACAGAAATAAAGAAAAACCAGCCCCCCCAGGTCAGAGAGTACTGACTTTTACTTCCTGGATCCAATTAAAAGGATATGTGCATAGCTAAAAAGACAAAATCTTCCATCTGTGTGTAAGCATCATTAATGAGCCATGGTAGCCAATGCGGGACAGACTCTGACCAAATTACTGCTAAAATTTCGGAAGTATTTTGTAAAGGGGTATTGCAGTGAAAGGCATTTCCTGTTAAAGGACACCTCTCATCCTCAAAAAGAAAACCAGGAATGATCACTAGTCCACAGGGGTAGCCTCCTAGGGCATCAATTTGGGATTAAGGCAAGAAATGTTCTATGATGTCAGGTGCCTGTATTTGCTAATTTAAATCTACCCTCTAACCTAAAGAAAAGGAGAAGTAGTACAAAAGCTCACAAAAGCAATAACAATGCAATAAAATTAAATAAAAACAGAAAATAGCCCTAGCTGGTGTGGCTCAGTGGGTTGAATGCCAGCCTGCAAAGCAAGGCGTCACTGGTTCAATCCCCAGTAGGGGCACATGCCTGGGTTGCAGGCCAGGTCCCCAGTAGGGGACATGTGAGAAGCAACCACACATTGATGTTTCTCTCCCTCTCTTTAAAAAAAAAAAAAGTCATCCCTGTACACCTTCCTTCTTTATCCCACCAATGTGACTTTGGACAAGTTACCAAATTTCTCTAAATCTCAGCTTCTCCTCCTAATTAAGACAATAATAATACTTATCCCAAAGGATTGTTATGGAGCTTAAATGAAACATTTGCAAAGCATGAGGCCTGACACATATTAGATGCTTAATAAATGATAGTTATATTGGTTTCAAAAATGTTTTTTAAACCTTTCTTATAAACATGGCTCCTGACTAGTCGATGCAATTCTGACTTTTCTTTATTCCTTCCAGGGCAAGAACAAAGAACCCCAAGATGCAAAAATTTATTTGTTTCTTTATTTATTTTTTGCATTCATTTATTCACTTAACAAATACATAGTTTATGGCTGCTATGTGAACAGGCACCCCCCAGAAAAGACCATGACCTTTGTCCCCTTTGAGTTTATAGCATAGAACAGGTGTTAAAGTGAGAGTAAACAAAGAAATAAGTCAATAATCACAAAAATGGTCATTGCTGTGAAGAAAGGGTACAGGAATATACTTACATATACATTTATATATGTGTGTATGTACACATAGGCACATATGTATGTAGGTATATGTACTACACAACCTATGTAACCACACCCTGATCAAGATAAAGGATATTCCCATCACTCCCAGATTTTCTCATGCCCCTTCTCAGACAACCCCACCGCAGGTCACCACTACTCTAAATTCCATTGCCATCAAATCACTTTTGCCTGTAATTGAACTTCATGTAGATGGAACCATACTGTTTGTGGACTTCTGTGCCTGACTTCTTGCATGCAACATAATATTTATGAAATTCATTCCTTATGTTACACATAACAGTAATTCATTCTTTTTTATTACTCTACATGTACCACAATCCTGCAGTTGGACATTTGGTTTGTTTCCACTTCTTGGTTATTAAAAGTAGAGCTACTATCAACATTGATGTATATAATCAAATGCTCATAGTAGATATGTGTGTATATATACTGATTTCTTGTTTTTTAAGGAAAAGATACTTTTTTTTAATTTATTTTTAGAGAGAGGGAAGGGAGGGAGAAAGACAGAGAGAAACATCAATGTACCAGAGATACATCGATTGGCTGCTTTTCACATGCCCCCAACTGGGGACCTGGCCCACAACATAGGCATGTGCCCTGACTGGGACTCAAACAGGCAACCTACTGGTTTGTAGGTTGGCACTGAATCCACTGAGCCCCACTAGCCAGGGGTATATATATGGATCGCTTGGTGCATACTGATAGTTTCCAAATTGGCTGCACCATTTAACTCCCAGGAGCAATATGCAAACATTCAGACTGTCTCCCATCTTCACAACATCAGTCGGCCACATCAGTCTTTCAGACTTCCACTGCTCTGGTCCGTGTGTAATGGAATTTCCTTGTCAGTTCAATTTGCATTTCTCTAATAAGTGCAATGTTGAGCGTATTTTCACATGCTTATTGGCCATCTGGAAAGCTCCCAAGGTGAAGTGCCTATTCAAATCTTTGGTTATTGGGCTCTCTGTCTTTTTATTATTGACTTGCAGAACTTCTAATGCATTTGAGTTTACAAATACATTGACAGTAATAGAGCTGAGCTAAGCCATAAGCCTATCACCAAGTTAATGGCAGAGCCCAAACAAGAACTTGGGTGGGCCAGCTTCCATTCCACTGTTCTTTGTACTTCCCAACATAGTGTGAAACGTACACACTCGAACCTGACGTAGGGAAAATGAGAGGGGAGGTAGGAAAACATGAGGACCGTAAAGCACGTTAAATTGTTCATCTTTTAAAACAGTAAACAGCTGTCTAGTAAATTTTAAAGAAATAATCATAAACTGTCACACAGACCATGTTGAAATAGATTACAGGGCTGAAGGAAATCAGTCCATTCAAAAGCAAACACAATTTTCGTTCATCCAACGGTTCCTACTGTTCTGTGTGCGGGACACTAAAGGCGTTGGTTGCCTCTTTCCCCTTTCCTCCCCGTTTCTTTCGCCAGGGCTGCACAAAGCGTCCCTTCTGGAGTAAGACTCCTTCTAGCCACCAGGTGGCAGCCTCTATCCATTTTGCTTCCTCTCTGAAGCGTCTGACTGCTGAGAGCACCCGCTGAGGACGCCCCAGCGTCAGCGGGCTTGACAATCAGTTACTTCATTTCCTTTGAGGTTCCCATAGCCAGCGCAATGCTGGACAGAGAGTCGACATTCAGTAAAAGACACAGTACATTGATAAAGGCAGCGCCCCCTGTGTGCTGTGATTTCTCCACAATAATGTCCGCTCTCCAGAGTGTTCGGTAACCTCTGTTTACAGAACAGGACAGTCTACAGAAATAAAGGCACAGAGAGGTAAAAGCTGTGATCTTAGCCACGCAGCAAGTGGGAGTCAGAGACCACATAAAAATTAGAGCCAAGGATGACAGCAATGTCCTAACCATGGATTGGCAGAGTGGTCACAGGCTGGGTGAGGGGGTACCAAGGACGCAGACGCTGCTGTGCTGTTGGGTCTGACCAAGGGAGGCAGCAGCCACGAGAATGTGCTGCCCAAGGCAGCTCCCTCGCCTGAACACACGCACGCACACACCCCGAAGCTGCATCCGGAAAGGCCCTTAGAAACCATCTCTGCAGATTGGAAAATGGAGGCCGGGTGTGGGAGGGGGTGGAGAGGAGCAGGGTATGGACTTGCCCAAGATCACCACTAATGAAGCCAGGAACCAGTAGAGACCTAAGGTCTTCTGAGAGGCAGCCAGTGAGCCATGCTCCACACCAGCTGTATGTTGGGAAGAGAGCCGGCCAAAACGATCGGCCACAATTAAAAATTTTTTTAATCTTTTTTCAACCTTGCCTACTTTGGAAAATGGATCCATGCCAACTGTGTAGGGCTAGAAAGAAATTGGACCAAAATTAAATGTAATCCGAAGATGGTACAAAAGGGACTTAAGTCATGGGAAAGTTTCTCGGAGCCTTTGGGAGCTCTTTAGCCGAGCACTTCTCATTGGCTGACAAGGAGTGAAATGGCCTGCAGGTGAGAATGACACTGTGGGAAGAAGGGCCAAACCACCAAACGCTTGAGACCGGTAGTTAGAGTTCACATGTTTACCACTAGGGGGCGCGGCCTGCCTGTTTTTTCCGCCTGAGCAGGCGCGAAATTGTGCACTGTTCTCCCATCCTGGGAGTCCTTCCAGGGTAAAGACCACTCACGTCTTTTTTCCACTTATTGGAAGCAACTTCAACAACTTCTGAAAGAGTGGGACAGAAAACTGGAAAAGTGTGAACTTGGATATGAACCTCACATAGTAGGAACCAGAAATGACACTGTACCTTGCTGGGCTTTCCGACTGTTTAAGAGGTAGAAATCATTAGCAAAAGTACGTTGATAACAAGTATCGACTGGTGGTGGTCTTTTTTTTTTTTCTTTTTCATTGTACATAAAAATGTATAAAAAGCAAAAGGAACTAATTTGGAACACAAGGGAAGGCAAAACAACCGTGAGGGAGAGTCAGTGTAGAGAACAGCACTGAAATGTCTCCAGCTTGTACACAGCCTCCCGGTGCTCAGGCCCGATGTGTCACGTACTAGCTGAGTAATATCAGGAAAAGCGCTTAACTTCGGTTACTCATCTGTAAATGGAAAAATAATAATTACACAACAGACCATAAATAAGCTGATGTGGTTAACACAATGTGGCACATCCTATGAGTTCAACAGATGTGAGTGCATCTGAATTTATTGGTTGGTAGCAAGAATCAGCAGCACGGGTCAGGTCTGCACCCAGATTCTGTTTGACAAGAGGTCAGAAAAGATGTGTCCCAAGGTATCAGGTTAGTGTGTTCTTATATATTTTTAATCTTCAAAGCAATCCAGCCCCATGGATATCTTTTTTTTAAATAAAGATTGCCAATATCAACAACAGCTAGCTAGAATATACAATAAAAGATAAGACCCAACTAACAATAGCAAACAAAAAATAAAATACATAGAAGTAAACTTAACAAGGAATGTGCATTTACTTACATGAAAGGTCTTTAAACATTTATTAGAGGACCCAAAAGAAGATTTGAACTAATGGAAAGATTCTTCGTGTTTTTAGATAAGAAGATGCAATATGATAAACATGGCAACTCTCCCTTCCTAAGTCAACCTATAAATTATATGTGACCTCATTAAAAATATGAAAAAGTTTAGAATCAAGCTACTTCTAAAGCTCATATGAAAATAATTGAAAGTAAGTATCTCATTGGACATTCTGAAGATGACGAATACTGACAAAAAGCCCTTCTGGGTGTTAAAAGCTATTCAGTCTCAATAATTAAAACAGTGTCGCAACAGCATATGAATAGATAGATCACTAAAGTCAAGATATGAACCCAATACAAATGGGCATTTAGAAATGATAAAGAGGCCATCTAATC